AGACGGCGGCCAGTCTCGCCCACATACAAAAGATTACAGCGGGTACATTTAATTTAACCTTTAATTTTGTCAGTTGATCAAGAGAGATCAATAGTTTCAAGTATTGACTTTTCAGTTTACCCTAACAACAACGTATAACATGGTTAGAAGAACGTGCTCCTTGGGGATAGCTAGCTCTCCTTTGAGACCAAAAGTTCTATGTCTATGTTTAATAGCCAATAAAGTGTATCTGTCTGCAGTTATTTTAAAGTAAATACCTACCTGTCGACGATCACAGGGTCGGAAGGAGTCTCGTTTTTGTTGCCACAGGATTTTTTATCACAACAACGGCTAAAAAAATAAGTTGAATTAGTGCACATACGAAGTGAATTGCGACATACTTCAAAATCTTCCTACATTAAAAAAAAAAACGTAGTGAAAATATTTCATTTCTTTTACCTGCACATTACTTCGTGTGTTAACAAAACCCGTCGCATCTCGGGGTTCTTGTCTTGGCCCTCGTAAGCAATTATCTATGGAAGACAAAGCGTAGGAAACGCAATTAAACTTTTCATTAAACACTCTCTATTATACATAGGGAGTATTTTAAGTTTTTGCGAATTTCTATAGTTTTTGTCAAAACTAAAAGTTCAAAAGCATTTTCTAATCAATTTTATGTTTTTTACATTTTTGGCTCAGTCTAAGACCACACTCTGAGTAAAATTCTGTGTTAACTAATTAGTGAAGGAGCTTGCGTTCCATCCTTAGTTTTTGCCAAATTTACAAGTAGATTTTTGCACAAACATTGGTCAACATTGGTCAGGCTGTTGTAAGCAGAAACACGTTCCTTTTTAATCTTTCTCGAGAGTTCAAGTTCGTAAAAATAAGTGACGGGGCAACAAAACCTTTGAACTATTAGTTTCAGGAGTTTGTAAAAAGTTCTTACTTGTTTGGTGTTACATTCCACAAGGCGTATAAAAATATCTTGTTCCACACGTATCGCTGCATAGAAAATCAAAAGTTAAATCATAAGATATCGTGACTGTGAAAGTAATTTTGTTAAATCTAGGCTAGGAAAAAAACGTCTTCATGAAGCACTTAAATGGATTCCAGGAATGAAAAAGCCATTCAAGTGTCCTCTCTCTCGACGTCCACTTATTTGGTCGTCAAACTCTCGCAGTTTAAATTAATCTTTAACGAAGTTTTAGCAAACTTTCTAACGTTCTTGTTTATTCACATAACACCTAAGCTCTTATTTGGATATCTAACTCCCAGAGCACCATTGGTAAATATAGTAGTTGTACTCTTTTGTATCGCGTCTTGCAGACCACCACACCGGAATTAAAAACTACGAAGCGTGATACCAAATAGTCCCAAAGCAACCATAGCAGTTTGTGGTTCGTGTTCAGCTGGTGCTAAATTCCCATTAGGGAGGTCGAGGGTTAATTTAATAACGAGGAAATATAGGTAAACATACTAGTAAGCGTAGCAATAGAAACTTTTTAAATTCGATCAACTTTTTGAAAGTTTACGATTTTTGATCTGTCTTACCTCCATTACAAATAAGCCCTAAGCGGTACTGGACACCATTTCTGATTTTTCTGTCCTCCTAAAAAACACAAAAAAAGTTCCAAAATAGCTCCTAAAAACTTTTTTCACGTTTATGTGAAGTAGATAGACATGAGGCCAGTATTTGTACAGCACGTCTTACCTGTGTATGCTCGATGAAGTCAACAAACTGTGCGTGTTCTATCTCCAGTGGTTGCGAATTGTGGTCGAAGAACGCCAGAACGAAGTGGAAAAAATTACTTTTACGTAAATTTGCTGGAGGTTGCTTCTCGAAGCTGCATCTTGATAATACAGAGGGTTGACTACAAGATAAAATTGTATTTAAAAACTCAGCAATGTAACTTTTTGGAAAAGAACTTTTTATATTTCTGTTGACTTGGATTGGTACACCGGAGTAAATGAGTTAAATTTTCTGTTGCTCTCTTGCTTACCCTGGAGTTGTATGATCCTCTAGTCCAGGCTGTGGAATCCAAGGATTTATTCTTCTTCCGTCTTTTATAGTACTATCAGGTTGTTCTTGCATTTCTGAGACTCGTAAATTGCGCCAAATGTAAACCTCTTGCAGTGATTATCAGCGCGCTTCTGTATTAGAGTTTTGTTAGTCGTATCGTCAGTGACTACGTCCAAGACAGTTTTCGCGCCGCTCGAACTGTTTTACGTTTGTTTAAACTCCGACGTTCATCTTCAATAAAGTAACCTAAGGTCTTTGTTCCTGGAGAACGCGAGATCCAGTCAGAATGAGCGAATTCAACTCCCAAAGGGACAGAGCTTTACTTCAACGGTGCTCCCGAGGGAATAAAACACTACAATTCTGAATACGTAATAATATGCTTGAGTCGTGACCTTTTGACCAATCAGCGCGCTTGCATTGTCTTTGTTTGAGATTGTTCAAGTGTGATGGAATGCGGGATGGTTGAGTCATTTCCTGCAGCTATTTTGGTGCGTTGTATCAAACATGTGTGCGAAGAAAAATTACTTTTAACCAATTTCTTGAAAAAACAAAGATATTCGTTTTTTTATTATTTATAACTTTAAATGTTTTGTAAAGTATAAAAGCAAGAATTGAAAGAATTGTCAAAATGAATAAGTTTATTTTATTGATAAAGTAAACCAAGAAATGAAAAGTTACTAATAATGACTTATAAGATTCAAGCTTCTTATTGCTGGTTTTCACATGACGTCATCAAAACATCAAAATCTAAACTATAGATCGTATAAAGGCATTTCTCAAATATGTTTTAGAARTCAGTGYTATAAGTCACAAGAAMAAATCTCGAGTCATTTCGATGTTTGGTTCCCGAGTTATGAAGGTTGACTTTGTGTCACGCATTACCGTCACGTCTATCTAAATAGCGATGAAAATATTAAAATAATTTACTCTAGTTGAAAGATTTTCCCTTAGACACGTTGTAAAGATCTATATAAAGTATATTTAATTGAAATATAGCCAAACATATGAAATATTCCATCATTTTAAGCCTTTGGAATTTCGTCCGCCATGATGGTGTACCAACTTGGAACACCAAGATGGCCGCTCCATACATTTTAACCAAAAATTGCGTCATGTTTACTTGCCTATAGTTCCGCAACGAAATGCTTTACAGCCTTAAAATTTGGCCAGTATGTGTAGTTTGGACCGCTTTGCAAGAATATAAAACTTTTATTTCATTATAATGCGAATTTACGCTTTTGAAATTCATGATGACGTAGGTGAAAACCAAGAATAGTTGAGTTCCATGCTACAACTTACACACGAAGCGGCCGGCTAGCGTGACGTCAAAACCCGTCTCGCACTTTGGCAACGTTTCCACCAACTTTCGGTCAACTGTTGCGCAAAAGATTTGAAAGGCGGCTTTAGTGCTTAGCCGGTAACGCAACACACTCGTTCCTTTGCTTGGCCGTGACAAAAGACATGCAAGGAACATTTGCCTACTGTAAGAGCGGTTTAACTAAAAGCGAGAAAAGAACACAAAAGAAAACCTTTTTTCCTTGCTCCCCTCTTATGCTGAAGTTTTCGGCTTACAACGAAACGCCCACTTTAGTTTTACCGCGCGCATGCGGCGATCGTCAAAGTCAAAGAAGAAAGCTTGACGCACTTTTCTGTATGCAAGGCAGTTACGGGCGCAACCTGTGATATCATAAACCGGCGCTTGAAAAGCTAGCACTATCAGTGCCTATGAAGCACCGAATAAATTCTCCAGACATTTACTCTTCTTTTCTAAGGCTCGTTATTTACCTATGACGCATGTTTTTATTTACTCTTGCACTTGGTTTAAAAATTGTTTTCGTTTAGTTATGGTTCGGTTTGGGCTTGGGTTTGATGTAGTGCTGTGTGTTTATTATAAATTGTTAAAATTGATATTTCATAGGTCATAAAGAGTACGCATGCGTGGAAGTATATCTTCGATCATGGATAGCGCTATCCGACCGATAAATCTTATCTTGGATAACAGAATCAACTTATCCACTGGACAAGGATTTATCCTTCGGATAATGAGCGCTATCCACCCTTCGTACTGAGCCAGGCCTAGGTGTTTGTAATCCAAGTCCACATGAATAAAGGGCTGAAAAAGAACTTGAATCTATCTTAACAAAGTGACTAAAACGTGCTCTTGGCTTCGAGTATGCGCCTAAACACAATATAGCCAGATATTTATATTTCCTAATATATCTGCCCCATAATCATTTAAATAAACTTTGAGTAGTTACAAGTCATTTTTGGACTCCTATGTAATCTTTTTTTACGCTCGACATACAAACTCTAGTGAGTTCTATACTCGGCTGTGGTAAAGAATGTGTGGGATTCTTTATCAAGATAGAACTACATTGACACCTCATCTGAAAGTTCAATATCTTATATTCTCATAGAGAGTATTGAAATTTTAAAATATCTAAATACGGTTAACAGTACAGAGGGTTATCGAAAATAAATCAAATATAAGGGAGATAGTGCACAGTGTACAAGATGTATCGCGAACACCTATATCTTTGTGTTATCGGATTTTTTTCTTCGATATTTTGGCAGCCCCAAATTATCCTTATAATACTAATAACAGTGCGAGATAAACCATAGATTATGACTATCTGAAATATCGATCAGGGGCGGATCAAACCAAAAATATACGAGGGGAAGCTAGGGCCGCTTGATCGAATTTTGCGAATAACACTACAGAACTTGGAAAAAATATTGAAAAATATGCTTTCCATTCCACTTCAAAAAACAACCAACGTCCTTAAGGTAAGGGGGCTACAGCCTCCTGCACCCCCTGGATCCGCACCCCCCTGGATCCGCACCCCCCTGTGGATCCGCACACGCTGCAAATACACAGGTACAAGGCGCTGGTATAGTAGCCAACTGCTGCTAGCACCAAATTATATATCATTACAATACTAATAATGACAGTGGTAAATAAAGTTCATAGATTTTATCTCTCTGAAGACAAATATATACGTATGCTACGAACAAATAACAATTTATCGGTAATAACTTTTTTCATTGAGAACGAATTCACAACTAATTATCTTCAGTAAAACCTTCACAAATCTTATTTTATCAAAATTTTGTCGAGCCATGAAACAATCTCTGGGCTAATCTTAGTCTGGACACGGTTAAATTACATTGAATCAGAATTCTACGTAGTAAGTTCAACTTATGTCTTAGACTTGTTCCTGTACGTGTATTAAAAGACAAATATAATCTAAATGGCTTTGTTAAAAACTGCAAACCTTGCGGCCGTAAGACAGGCGCGAAAGCCAAAAAAGCTAGAGCTGACTCATTACATGTAATAGGTCACTAGATACGAAGGGAATCTATCACAAATTGAATTATATTCAGTGGATATATTGGCTGCATAAAGTGAATTATGTAGTGGATATATTGGCTTCACAAAGTGAATTATGCAGTGGATATATTGGCTTTACTAAAAGCTGCAAAATTATAAAAAGGGCGCATTTCTTATCATCAAAAAGAGCCGACAAAGACAATCAATGCTTCGAAGAATGTCTGAAAAAGAGAATAAATATAAAGGTATTTTTATATTTACTCTCGGCTAAAAAAAACCCCTGCAAAAACAGATAATTTTTAAACAATTATTGTTGTACATATTTCTTTCTCGTCCAAAGTTATTGGTTTAGGCTGAAAAAAGCTGACCTGACGGAGTAATAGCTACTAGTGACGGCAAACTCGCAAGCAGGTGTGTGTGTGTTGGTGTGTGTACCTTCAACGGTAAAACAAGTCTTGAAGGAGATAGCCTGACATTACTTGGTAAATATGTTTTGTAATAACTAAGCTAACGATTCCACAAGAACCAGTTGAGTAATGAGTAATATTTGATGTAATAGTCAGAACTTCCTTATCATTCCCCGAAATATTTGTTTTAGCAATTTTGTTTCAAAATTTTCAATATGTTTTATGTAGTTTTTGCTTCCTTTGCTTAAACAAGCGGGAAATTGAATTCCAATTAGCTGGCTGCCATGGTAACAGTAGAGGTTCCTATAAATGCTTCTCTCTCTCTCTGTCTTTCTTTTCGTTTATATTCAACACTTTTTGGTATTTTTTTCTAGATTTTTTAAGCGTTTTGGTCACTTTTCAAGGACCTTTATTTCGCTCTGTCCGTTTTCATTCAACTCATAGGTACTTCTCCTTACTTACTTCGTCCCCTTGAAGTCAGTTCTTTGCAGACGTTTTTAAGGACCGACACAAAAAACGTCTACTGAGGAGGTTACCTTGGCCTCCTTTGCAGCCGTTCTTAGGGTCGTCACGCAACGTTTGTGGGGAGGGAAACGTTGCGTGACGACCCTAAGAACGGCTGCAAAGGAGGCTAAGGTTACCTTGTATAGTAGTAATAAATTATGCGTTCGGTGTGTATATAATGAAGTAGAGAGAATAAGAGAAAAATATCAAATGCCCTTGGCAGGATTCGAACCCACGTCTTCGGTATTCTAGTCCGATGTGTTAACCACTACACTACAAGGTTACCTTGGATTAATATATATTCTGTAGCATGGCTTCCCGTCAGTTGCCGGCTTGTCGTTCAACTTAACCATTTAAAATCACAATACGATACCGCATACGGTGCTTATGACTATGGCTAAACGAATTGCCAAATCATAAATCAACGTTTCTTTACATCCTGACTGCTTACCGATTTTTTAAACTTTATTTCTTATTTTTTCGTCCTTTCAATTTGGCTAGTTATCTTCTCAGTGGATCAAATGAGACCAATATTGGTTTTAGGCCGAAGGATTTTCTTTGTGCGCTGAGGGGGTATTTCTTTCTCTCTACTTATATCTGAACAGGAACTGTAGAAAAGAGGTTCAGCTCGTAAAACAAACCGACGGTTCCTGAAAAAATATGTCAAGTCAGTGTTGTTTTGTAGGTTGGTTAAATAATGGTTAAATTAATATATTTCTTCAACCCAAGACAATTAAAAAATAGTCAAGATAATCTTGGCCTAAAGATTCCATTCCAAAACAAATAAAATATGGCGCAGGCGAGAAAACTTCAATTAAAGACACATTCACAGATATTTCTTTAACAAAAAACTTTCTAACATAGCTTTTACAATGTATATAGAGTAGCTTTGCCAGCTGCTTTTTAGCGAACATTGCTCTGTCAACCTGTATAAAACGACCTGTTTACCAGTGATCAGTTTACAAGGGTTTGGTCATGAAGCAATGTCCAAGTGTATCGTAGCTTTGATGAAGAGACATTTCACTGTAAACACAACGTGTAAACCGATAGTGTGACCGACTTACAAATGTTTTCGTAATGAAACTTCCAAGATCTTCATCCGTGCAGTATTGATACACATAAATTACGTGTGTATCTTTAGTGAGTATATTGCGTCTACTTAAACTGGTGTTAGGCGTATCATCATTTACATGTGGGGTGCGATATGTATCTATTTTCGAATCTTTCGTACAAGTCGGTTCTTTTCGATAGTGCTTGTAGTACCTCTGGACATATTGATTTCCAAAGTGCCTTGGTTGGAAAAGAGACTGACAAGAACCCCGTGCATGAAGGGAAGATGAGAGAACAAAAAATATGAATTACCCTAGTAACGAAACAATAGAGAGTTTTAGATTTACCGTCACGGCAAACCGTGAAACGTCAATTGACCAGTAAAAAATTCTTTTAAATTACTGAAAAAGAATCGCAAAAAAGTCCAAGTAGTAGAAAAACAAAAGAGTATTTGCGCTTGGTGAGAAGGTTTGTAAAAGGTAAAAAGTAAAATACACGAAAACTATGAAAACGTGGTCACGTTTGCCGTTTGCGGGGAGAAAAAAAAGTCAATCTAAAACTCTCTAATATCAAAGAGGGAACGAGGAAGAGAGAACGAGGAAAAAACAGCCACTCAAAAGCGAAAATAATTAAGACATAAAATATGTTGGAGTTTAAGTTCAAGAGAATATACGTAAACTGAGAGAGGATGGTTTTGAAGTACTTGAGTGGTTTGGACAAATGTGAAGGAGGGATTAAGAATTAAATAAAAGAAAGGAAAGATCGATCAAAAGTGAAAATGGAAATCAGTATTAAAGTATAAAGGACTAGAGAGCCGATTCTCGAAGAAGAAGAAAATAACTGCAAAAAGCTAAGGGAATAAGAAAGATAGAAAGAGAGATAAAGAAGGAATGAAGGAATAAAGTTCTGGTAAAATATGTCACTATTAAATGCATTGCTTATCGTTAACTACAAGTATGTCTCGGTGTCTCGAGCAGATATATCCTTAGCTCTTGTTACTTAAAAGTCGAAAACGTGTCTATTAAAGATCTCTAGCTTCTTCCATCAGATTTGACATTCAAGTTCTTTCTACCCCCTAAAAGGATCGTATTCCTATTCATCCGGATCATTCAACCGTGCAATCTTTACAATCATTTTCCATTGCACGGATCTTTATCTAATTTACTATTTTCATTTTTAGATTCTGATAAATAGTTTTATTTCGGAGTTTACTTGGCTACAAAGATGGCTATTAAGATTTGTTACTCTCCACAGTCTAATATTTCAGAATACATAATTAAACTGTACTGTTAAATAACTATATGATATGATATGATAAATATTTTTAGCCAAGTTTATCTAGAGTTTTGCGGAAGAAATATTTTTTGTCGGAAAATTGGCGATATATTTAATAGTTCATATTCTTACTGCATTTATTCACAGATCGATTGGTACTGTATATATGTTGATAAATATTAATGTAAAATGTAAAGCCCGTCAAACAAATCTTAGAAGAATTAAATGGTGTTTTAACTAAATAGTATTAATGGAGCTCAGCTATTTTTAGCTAAGTCTTTTTAGTTAAAAGTTTAATATAATATCGTTTATACTGCTTGCTTATTTATTTGAATTTATGTTACTACCATGTTATTTACGTAATAGCACATTTCATTTCAATTTTGTAATAAGCCTAAGCTGATTCCATAAGTCGTAGTATTGGTTCTCTTGTGGGGTTGTGGGCGATACGACTTTAGCACGGTAAACACCGACTTATGGAATCTGTTTATGATGAAACCAAATTCAATTTATACATTAGTATATCTAGAATAAAATCAGTAAACAACTATTTTAGGCTCTGAAAAATTAACCTATGGTAGGCAATTTTTATGTGTCAAGACTGAAAGGATGATATATGACAGACACAGCTAAAGCCTTACACAATTTTCGACATAAGATGAAAGATACTAAGCTCAAAACGACATCTCGTTCGAAATATTTCCGAAACACGAGGTTCTGTTTCCTAGAAATTAAATTTGACTCCATAGCTTAAATGTTCAATTTTCGACATAAGATGAAAGTTATTAAACACAGCGAGCATCTTGTTCAAAATATTTTGGGAACACAAGCTGTTCTCTTTCGTAAAAAAAAGTGAATTTGACCACATAGCTAAATGTTCAATTTTCGACGTAACTGAGATGAAAGTTACTAAGCCCTGGAACATCTTGTTCGAAATATTTCGAAAACACAAGCTGTTCTCTTTCGTAAAAAAAAGTGAATTTGACCACATAGCTAAATGTTCAATTTTCGACGTAACTGAGATGGAAGTTACTAAGCCCTCGAACATCTTGTTCGAAATATTTCGGAAACACAAGCTGTTCTCTTTCCTAAAAACTGAATTAGCCACATAGCTTAAATATCTATTTCTCTGTGAGCTCTTAATTCATTTTTTAGTCCAAGGTCGATTTTATAAGTATGCATTATTTGTTTCTTACTCATTATATCCTTAAATCCCTTAAGAGCATCTCGTTTTTCCTGGATATTATCCCCACTTTTTCAAATCCTTTCTCCGCTTCATAGAATTACAGAATTACTCTTTCTCTTTTTTTTATCTGGCAGTTAGATTTAATAATTAGAAAGGATAAGAAATTTTGAGGATGAAAGTTGAGTGAGCATGCAGAGTTGGCGTCAACTGGTCTCGTCTGCACAGCTTCGCCACGCATTGAGCACGCTTATTTTCAGTCTAATCGAGTATTTGACTTTTCTACGTGCGTATATAGTCCCTTGCATTCATTTCCCCATCCGGGGGTCGAAATAATTAAGTTTTCTTCTCTCAAGATTTGAAAACATTTCATGTAATTTTTTCCATTGTTTTGTCCCCCAGATCGACGTCACACGCAACGGGTCTATTCCTGCAGCTATGAATCAAATTTAAGTCGCTTGGGTATATACGGTGGCGCCGCTTAGATCCTCATTGCCTCTCTTTCTTAGAACAAACTTCTTAATGGCGGCTCTAAATTGCCTGTTTATACCTGTATATATTATAGGATTGGCGAGCGTATTACAATAGCGCAAAACTAAAATGACATAGTGCGCGATGATTGTGTTAATTGACTTTCGGCAATCCTTGCAGAATGTTACCACAAGACRATAGATAAAAAGAGGGCACCAACAGATGATATGCGTGCCCATGATAATTGTGAGAGTTTTAGCGGCTTTCAGTTCTCCCTTGAATTTGGTTTGTCGTTCGCCTTCTCTCGGTTGTTCCTGAAGGTTAGAAGATACTTGCATAGCTTGGATACGAATAGCTTGTACGTGCGCCACGACGAAGATCTTCCAGTACGCGCAACCCATGATCACAACAGGCAACACAAAGCTGGACACTGTAATGAAAATTACGAACTCTCCTCCAAAGAACAAGCACTGTTTGGGATTTTTAACAGCGGGAGAGTTCGGCGTATTGAATGCGACGAGGGTAATGAGTGACACCACGATAGAATAAAACCAAGTGAAAATTATGGTCAAAACTGCGCGGAATGTGGTGACGCGGGAGTCGTAATGCAGTGGTGTAACAACGGCAATGTACCGTTCAATACTGATAACAGCCAGGCTTACAATCGATGCCGTTCCGCAAAGGATATCGATGACAATTTGCGCTTGACACAAGGGTGCGTCTTTGTTCCTTCCCAAGATGTAAGTCACGATCATCGGAACAGCAACAACTACTAAAATGTTATCAACCACTGCAAGGTTCACCACGAAGTAGTGCTTGATTAAGCGAAGCTGGTCGTACAAGCAGAAAACTATACAAACAATAGTGTTAGCGATGAAGGAATAAATGGCGATCATGATGATGATGACGACCAGTAACTGTAAGCCAACTGGAAGCGGTTCAGGCTTCCGTGCGCACGATTCTGCCCATTCCTTCCAACACCCAACGGGGTTAGCAAATACCAAAGGACCTGAGGAATTTTCGCAAACATTGAACTTTCTCTGGCATTCCAGGCTAGTTTCTTTAAGATCTGGGTACTCGTACATCTTGATAGTTACCTTCGAAAGCGTCTTATTGTTCGTTACTTCAGTCGTGGTCTCTTTTCTTGTCGTGTCGTTTAGAACGTTGCCCACCTTTTCTTGATCCGCAATCGCACGGCCACTCCTTCGCCTAACTGTCGATCAACGTATACCAATGCTGCTCAAAGATGAAATGAAAAAAGAGAAGAAAAGAATTAACTTTCTATTCGATTCCCTTTTACGAATGAAAAGATAATGAAGTATTACGTCCAATAAGGTAGGAAACCAGTTTCAAAAATCGCATATGAAATCGTTTCATTGAGCGCTTTCAAAGTGCTAGTTTTCAAAAGCTTTCAGAAATCTATTTTGAAGAGATGCCTTACGGCATTGTGTTTAGTAAGTTAAAAAGCTAGTTTTCGTTTCTGAAGTATCGTGGCTTAGAAAGCTGTCGCAGATCAATTCCAAACGTAATCCGTAATCGATGGAAGCTGGACCTGTCTCGCTCGCCTCTTATGGATCTTAGCTCAGCTCCACTGAGGTATCATACCTTATATAACACTAACACATCTAGGTAACGTCGCTTAAATGTAAAAAGAAAGATGTAACATCTCTTCCAAACGTAATCCGTAATCGATGGAAGCCTGTACTACCTGCCTTGCTCGCCTCTTACCGATCTCAGCTCCGCTCCAACGCAAGGTATCATACCGCATGTAACACTAACAGATCTAGGCAACGTCGCTCGAATTTAAGTCCTTTGAGGGATAGATTGACAGCGAGGTGGCAATGATTCGTTTGGCTAGGGAACTAATTTATTTAATCAGCTGGAATAAGAGAGAGTTAATGTAAGATTAGGCGCGCGCCATCAACGGAAAACGTGCCACAAGCAGCCTATCAAGAGCAACTAAATATTCATACTTCGATCTGGCATAATGACCGGAAGCAACGGACAATCTATGATCCAAGTCACTTCCAATATTGATGGAATATTTCAGTTAAAAAGTCATTCCTATTGAATATCAATTGAAGTTAATATTCTGGTTTTATTGGGAAGCGAGAAGGGAATTTCCGCTCGCACGAATAAATTTTACCAGAATACTTCAAAGTGTATTTTGTCTAGATTTGCCGCCTACGAAGGTGTAAGTTTAAAAAGTGTCGGGCCGGATCTTCGTGTCAGGATTTTAGAGCGTATTCTGGATGCACTATATATATTATTCTGTCTTTAACTTGTGCCTTTTTAAATGACTTTAAAATTTGTGTCGTGTTTCTCGCTGAGCCGTTGTTAGCGAAGGATTGCAAAAATAGATTAGCCCGCCGATCTGCCGAGTCAAATGCATCGATTTAGTCGCTATCTGCCGACGTTTGAAGAATGTCTTCGCAGTGAAAAGAGAAAAGAATGCAAAATAAATGGAAAAATGAGTGAATGAATGAGGGAACAAGTGAATGAATTAATGAAACGATAAAGAAAGGATGAGATATAATAAATGAAGAGAGAATGAATGAACCAGAAAATGAGATAAAGAGCTGAAGAGGAGACAAATAAGATAAAGCGGAGGAGATAAATAAGACGAAGAACAAATGAATGGGAAATTAAATGAGAAAAAGAAACAAATAAACATCAGGTGATCAAATGAAGCTTGTGATGAATGGAAAAATCGGAGTGAGTGACTGATCAATAAAGATTAAGAAAACATATAATCCTGTGGACACCATCAACTAAGTTAGAAAATACAAGCAATATTTTAAGTCCACTTCAACTGGCACCAAAAAAAATAAAAATTTTTTTTTGTCAAAAAAAAAAAAAAAAAAAAAAAAAAAAAAGGCAGACAATCAATTTTCCATCAAGCAGAAGAAACATAAGGACTTAGAAAGCAAATATCCACAATGCAGGCGCTTTTATATTTTCGCCAATTCAAGTAAAGTGGTCTCTTTATTTGAACGAGCCTCCAAGCTCGACAAACATACAACGCAAACTTGCAATTTAGAAGTCAATGCGGATGGTTGGAAAATAAGGGTGGTCCGTCAAACACGCCGGTATGTCAAGCTTACTGTATTAGATTCTTTGAAGGGGAGATAGATAAGATATTCTCTCTTTAAAGAAGTGTACCGTTTGACTTCCTATACGAAAAATCTCCACCGCACGCTCATTCAATGACTAAACGAAGGCCATTTTGATTCGGTATTAATTGATTCATGCTTTTTTGGGTTAAAATGAGTTTTTACACTCACTCTTTTCCACTCTGAGAGCAAAATAAATAAAACTAGAAAAGCATAATGTATAATGAATCATATAACCTAAATGTGAAGAGTAAAATAGAAAAAAAGAAAAGACAGGGGAAAAAAGAAGAAGAAGAAAACTTGACAGGATAAACGAACTATTTCTGAATCAGATTTTTCCCTGCATAGATGATAATGGCATATAGTTAAATATAATAAGTACGTACTAATAAAAAAGCATTCAATATAATCCATGTTCTCCATAGATACTATGTACAAGTGTTAAAAAAGACAATGGCAAGGATGTGATGTGGCACCAAAATATTTTTTTCATTTCCTATCGCGTGTGAATCGATCGACTGATATCCTTGTTTTGCGTTTCTTTACCACAGCCATGTTTTGGCTGTGTACAAATATATCACTTCTGCCTCGAATAATGCCAAAAAATAACGAGATTAGACTATGTTTGATTTTAAGACATCGAAATAGTTTTTTGGCGGTTTCACCTCAGATTTCTAACCCATGGAAGGCTGTAAATTGAGTTAATAGTTGGTAATCTATTTTGTAGTATTGTCTAATATTCTGTAGGTGGAAGTTAGAGAGACAAGTTGACGATGGACGTAATTACAAATATCGTTCCTAATCCCCGAGAGCATATCAAGGAGGAAATAATCAAAGGGATATTGAAGGGAAAATTGGCTAAGCTTGAGGCCAAATCATGTAATTTCGAAATGCAATAGAACTGCTTATCGAATGCAAAAAGGTTTGTATTTTCGCTCGCTTCTCAAACCAAAAAACGTCAGACTTTTCAAGACGAGTTCTTCTTTACCATGAAAATGTTGTCAGAAATGTCATTTAGAAAACGACCACTTCTCCAGTTCTGTTTGGTTAGGATTGTACAAAAGTAAACAATAGTGAAATTATGATTAGAAATTATTCTATTTTTCTGGTTACAAACTTAGTCGTTACAGACTTTTTTCTTGAATCAGTGCAGAATAGTATAGATTCGCACGCAGTTATTGAAAATTGATGGCAATTTTTGTTGGCGTTTTGAATTACAGCGTTTAAAATGTAGTATCTGATTGGAAGAATCATCCAGTTGATTCATTTTAGTTGAGAATATGGTAGGAATAGAGTACAAGGGAGAAAATATTTCTCATGGGTAGGCAACCTTGGTAAGTAATTCCTTTTTCTCCCGTAGAATTCCACCCTTTTTGAAATCGCTTTTTCTATATACATACCTTAGTAAACACAACTATTGGCTCAAAATATGGCCTCTAAAACCTTTAAGGAACCTGCATATACCGAACAAAGCAAATGTGGTCGGCTGACAGGTCCGTAGTTCGATCACTAGTGACTTAACACGCTTGTTTTCAGACCTCTCTCATGCATCTGTAACCCTTATACACTGTTCTCATAATGACTGACAAGTGAACGAAAACGAGGTCACCTGGTCATTAGTTTACAATAAAAGATATAAAAGCACATGAAATGCGTTTCTGGGAGAAAACTGTATAAAAATTTACCTTTGGTGTGACCTGAATTTGCGCTATCCCCTTTGTTTTATATAAATGAGCAGCCTTGCTAAGGCTTGCAAGATGACTGGGTGACCTGCCGCTCATCAGCCATTATGAGAACGGTGTAATATAAATGCCCTAAGAGCACTGATAAATAGGAAGTAGAGGTTGTTGTTTATCGCCATTTGGTATAACTTCCTATACCTTTACCTTTTATATATATACATATATAGATACCATACAAATTATCCTGAAACAGATCAAAGTGAGGCATCCAAGAATTTGTTTTTCTCGAAGGTAGTTTTAGCATTTTAGACCTCGGCTCGGGCGTAATGTTTTCCCATTTCAGACCACGTGTCATTCCCTTGAGAATAAGAATCTTTGTTCGAGTTTTATCCATATTCGTGTGTCTTCTAGTGTGCAACCGCTAAACAAAGAATTGATGCTCTAGGGAATGACACACGGTCTGAAATGGGAAAACATTACGCCCGCAGGAAGTATGACTGACCAATATTTTTTCCGTTTCAAATTTTTTGGTAATCGAAACAGCATTGACGTTCATACCTGCAGATCCCACCACTGATTCTCGCACTATCTCAACATCACATTTCCCTACCTTCAATATATATAGCTATAGCCCTTAGGCAGCGCAAGTTCCTCTTTCTTTTTTCTAGTGGCATAAATAGCTAACGGTTCGACAGTACACGTGTATCGATCTGCTAAGATGTTTTTTTTGAATGTTTTTACGCCGTTTAAGCCTTCAAGACGATTTTAAACACATTGGTAATGTTGCTACCGGAAAAAGGAGTTTTAGTTTTTTTAGGGGTTCTGCCTTGTTTGCCTCCCACAGCGTTTTCAATAATTGTTATATTTTCTGTTAACACTTTTTTTAAAATGTTTTTACGCCGTTTAAGCCTTCAAGACAATTTTAAACACATTGGAGTAATGTTGCTACCGGAAAAAGTAGTTTTAGGTTTTTTTAGGGGTTCTGCCTTTTTCGACTCCCACAACGTTTTCGATAATTGTTATATTTTAGAGTTAAAAGCACAACATCCGAAAGAGACATTTTCCGACTTCCTGCGGGTTATATTAAAGCTGATTGGCTTGGAATATTAGTTATAGGAATATAATAGATTTACTTTTACCTAAACGAGATTGGAGATATTGCAGTGAAGTAAAGAAAGAAAGTAATTGATGAGGAAACGAAATGAGAGAAAAAATGGGGAACAAATAAGATAAGTGACTTGAGAGAAACAGAAAGATGGCAATGAATAATGGGGGGAGGGGGGGGAGGAACAACAGAAAATTGACGAGAGAAATACTGGGATGGAAATGAAAAAAAAGAAAGAGAGAAATTAACAAGAGAAATACTGAGATGGGAATGAAAAAAAGAAAGAGAAAATACTGAGATGGAAATGAGAAAAAGAAAGAGAGAAATTAAAAAGAGAAATACTGAGATGGGAATGAGAAAAAGAGAAATTAACAAGAGAAAAACTGAGATGGGAATGAGAAAAAGAAAGAGAGATTCCATTAGGAATTTAGAAGATTTTTGCGGAGGGAGGTAAGCAGAAGAACCCGAATAAAAACCCTCGAAGCACAGCAGAGAACCAACAAAAAACTACTCACGAATCACATACAACACCGATATAAGAAACATAAAAAAATAGATCCGTTTATCAAGCACGAAATCACTACTTCACGAATACAACAATTATCATAAGGGATTTATCGATTAATATCTGACGAAAAGGTTTTGTAATTCACAAGTATGGATTTGATTATTATGTCATGCGAGTACATTCTGCTCCATTAAGTTTTTCCGGCAGAGTTTCAGGGAATTGTCCTTTCGCCTTTTATCTTTTTGGAATCAACAGATTAGGTTAACCGCCTAAAAAGATAAGGCTAAGAAAAAAGATAATCGATAATCCATTAGTAATTAGAACTAGTATTTCCGCAGTTGTAAAAAAAGCTCATTGATGATTTAGTGAATGAAATTTTTTGAGGTAATATTAGAGGAAACGCTTTTTTAAGTGAGTACTTTGTCTTGGCATTAGATAAAAACATCAGTAAATAGAAACAGAAACAATAAAGATAATAACAAAGAATAATAATAATAGTAAGATGAAATAAATATATGAAAATCTTAATAAAACAACAGCAGTAATAAAAACAATACGGTTCGGAATTCTTCGTTCTGAGAAAAATTAGCTTGAAATTTATATTTGTAAAATTGTTCATACACAATGTATTCATAACAATGTACACTTAGAGATGGTGCAATTATTCTTATCGTGGGAGGAAGAGTGACAACGTCATCGATGTAAACCTGAGAACTAGGTTAAAGAGGTTAGTTGTAACGGAGGTAAGGGGAGGTGAGAAAAATAAGTAAATATGTATATATTTTTTTGTGTGGACTTGTTACTGTTATTGGTGTTTTTTGGTTTATTGTCTACAAAATAGGCGAGGGAGGACGCAGGAAAGTGGAAAGCGAGAGAATTATGATAAAGTTAAGGTACAAACAAACAAAGGCATCAAAACATCGACTTAAATCATTATGTCAGTCATGCATGTGAAGCGAGTTCTACCTCGCTGTCATTGGTTGGTTAAGACACTCAAAAGGAGGCCACTTCAGTGTCAACTGTGGTCGGTTCAGGTA